TTAAATAAAAAATATATTCAATAAATAATAAATAATGTAAAAAATAAATAATAAATAATATAAAAAATAAATAACAAAAAAGTATATAAAATATAAAAAAATAAATAAAAAAATTAGTGTTGTTCAATACAGTTTTATTTATTAAAAACTAGATCTGGAATAATTTCAATTAATTTTGTTCGTTTAGGTAAGATTAGTGATTATGTTAGTTTCTATAGCTCTCTAAACTATTTTAAGATTCGACTGTTATCAATATTTGATGTTACATATAATATTAAATGTCATTAAACGAGTTATTGTCTGGTTGAAAATTTTCTAACCCCTTTATGTACAATTTAATAAAAAAGAGAAGCAAAAAATTAATATCTGGCTAGACAGATCTGTTCCAAATTTAATTAGCTTTCATTTAAAAAAAATTGATCAAAATCGGTTCAAATTTGGAGACTGTAGCCTTTTTTGAAACACGAAATTTCATTCGGCCCCACTGTGCGCCGCCACCGCCGCCAGGATGTCTATTGTAAAAAGCGAACGAAAGAAAACATAAATAATCGCGTTCAAATGAGACAGGGAGGTGAAGGAAGAAGAAGAAGTAGATAAATAATTTTTTTTTTTTACTTACTGCGGCACACTCCCCCGGTTGATTCAATCAACCTCCTTCAATTCAGCCGCCAACTCCTCCTCATACAGGTTGACGAGGAGGTAGAATAGCTCCGCCTCGTCGTTCACCCGCATGAGATGCAGGCCAAATCGGATGAGGTCGTCGGGGTCGACCTGATCGACGTCAATCATCGGGATGGGGGGAGGAGGATCTTCCTCCTCGTTATTCTCCCCTTCGATGTTCTCGTCGACGTTCTCCTCGTTGGTATCGGTAGCATCGACGTCCTCTACCTCCACCTCCGCCTCCATCACCTCCTCCTCTTGAGGAGTAAAATCTTCCTCTTCCTCCCCAAAAAGTTTTTTTTTAATTGGTTCCAGTAGGTGCATGATGTTATTTATGATAATACACGCACGCACGCACGCACGCAAGCACAAACGCACTTAGACAAGAATTGAAAATATTAACCCTTGTGTTCGCACCCAACTTTATCGACGTTGTTACGCACCCGGGTACCCCGGTGCCCACCTCTCATTTTTTCAATTATTTAAATATTTATGCAATTGAAATGAATTTTCTTAACGTTTATTTCAATAAATAAACATAAAAAATGAGTGCGCGAGGAATTTGAAAATAAATTGACCTACTGTAGCTCGTACAAAGATAGGAGAAAATGGAATTATCGAGGTCGGCGCAAGTAGCGCGCGGTCACCGAAAGACGCCAGCTGCTCGGAATTTCAAAAATAAATAGCAGAGCCCGTTTCTTAACGTCTAAAGAAGCGACTGCGCAGATGTGCGTCAGTACGTGTTCTTCGTTCGCACAGACGTGCTGTTACATGCGGAGACGCTTAGCTAACCTTATAGGTACGCAGTATACCGATATCGCAGCGTCGCTTGCTTTCACTCCGTAAATTGTTTCGTGCAGTGAATATTTTATTTACAATATTTTTTGAAATATTATTGATCTAATAGTGCTGAATTGAATACTTTGGGGTTATGGAGGAATTATCGAGAGCTGAATTTGCAAGGTAAAATAAAATCATGCATTTGTGATTTTTTTTCAGCGTTTCATAATTCTAACTTCTTTCTGGTATTTTATTGCAAAAGAGAATAATGTATGAATTTTATCTCAGATTGAATGCCGCGGAGAAAGAAAGATATTTGATCGAGATATTAGGAAACGATGATAATGAGTCAATCAGGACATCTGACAGCGATGACGACGACTGGGTACCAGATGAAATTTTGTCCGAGCGTGACGCTTCTGATAGCGATGAACCTGTTGATGATTTAGCTCAAGAAATTGATGCACCTACCGAAGAAGGTATATAAAATTACTAAATAAATTGTAGCGCGAAATAAAAAATCATAACTAATATTTAGTTTGGTCTACTATGAAATTTTTTATTTTTAGATGACGAAGAAAATGAAGACACTGAAGAAGAGCGAGAGGAAGAAGGAGAAGCTGAGGCTCAAAGAGAGGATCAAGCAGCAGCTGCAGCACGAGCAGGTAGCTTACCTTTAGAGTGTACAATTATTTGAAAATTTAAGTACTGAAGTATATATAATAAATTAATGTACTAATTTTTTCAGGGGAAACACCAAGCACTTACATAGCCAAAGATAAAACTGTATGGAATAAAACGCCGTTTTATCAACATCAAATTGCATCTCATAATATAATACGTCAGCGAAATGGTCCTCATCGAAGTACCGAAACACTTTCAATAAGCAATACTTTCAAGAAGATATTTACAGTACATATGGTAGATATTATCATTCGACATACAAATAAAAAGGCTTTGTCAGTTTACGCAGCATTCAATGCAGCGCATCCAGATTCGAAGCGAGAATGGAAGCCTGTTACTGTACAAGAAATATATTCGTTCATGGCTATTTTGATTTGCTCTGGTGTAAATAATTCTAATACCGATCATACATCTGATATGTGGCATTCAAATTCATATCCACTCTATCGAGCGACAATGGGGCTCAATAGATTTCGGAACATTTTGCGTTTTATTAGATTCGACGACGCCAATACACGCCAGCAACGCGCAAAAGAAGATAAAGCAGCTCCGATCCGTGATCTCTGGACAATGCTCAACGCAAATTTATCTAAGATGTACAAGCCAACGGAGAATTTAACGATCGATGAACAACTTTATCCTTTTCGCGGTCGCACAAAATTTACGCAGTATATTCCTTCGAAGCCGGCCAAATATGGCATCAAGATTTGGTGGATTTGCGACGCTGAAAATGCCTATCCCTTGCACGGCATTATTTACACAGGCAAAACAGGTAACGTTCGAGAGAAAAACCAAGGAGAAAGATTAGTAAAAGAACTTGCAGCCGCGTACCGAGGCAGTGGTAGAAATATTACCATGGATAATTTTTTTACAACGTTACCTTTTGCTAAACACTTGCTATCATGGAAGTTAACTTTAGTCGGTACTTTGAAAAAAAATAAACCATACATTCCAAGTGTGATGGCTCCGAATAAATCGAGAGAAGTATACTCTACTGTGTTTGGATTCCATGAAAAAGTAACGCTGTGTTCCTACGTACCAAAGAAAAATAAAGCAGTAATTCTAATATCTACGATGCATTCCGACATGGCTGTGAACGATGATGCTAAGAAGAAGCCCCACATTATTACATATTATAATAAATATAAAGCTGGCGTCGACACCATGGACCAAATGATCACCAGATATACTACACAACGTCGCACTTTGAGATGGCCGCTTGTTATGTTTTTCAACATATTAGACGTTACCTCACTCGCTTGCTATCTAATTTATTATGAAAATAATAAAATGATACCGAGAAAAACCAACCAGCGGCGGATATTTCTGCGCCAATTGAGCGAAGAACTTGCAGAACCAATGATTGTCACTCGATCTCAAAACGTACAAATAATGAGAAATTATAACACAAAGATCGCTATAGAAAGTGTGATCGGACGGATAGTAAATCCTGTGGAGGCTACTCGGGCAGTTGAACGAGATGTATCAGGAAGGAAGAAAGTCACCGGTTCCTGCCAAATTTGTTATAAACAAACAATTAGGAAGAGAAGGAAAACTCGAAAGGCCTGCTCCCAATGTAATCAACCTGTCTGCGATGAACATGCAATAACTTTCTCAAAATGCATAGAATGTAACAAATAAATGTTTTTTTTTATAATACTAATAATAATAATAACTAATTTTTATATATTCTATTATTACGCAACCTATTTTACATGCATTAATCAAATAAATTAATAAAAAATTAATAGTACATTCAAAATTGAATTTTTCTGTAGTGGGTACCCGGGTACCCGGGTGCGTCCGCGGCATATGTATACTTTAAATTATTTTTGGTAAAAAAAAATTCTTAAAAATGTTTTAAATGCACCATTTCATTGGAATTGAGTTAAATAACGACGATCCAGAGGCCTAAAGCGAAATTTTAATTTTTAATCCACTTTCATGCAAAAATGTACCGTGGTGGGTACACGGGTACCCGGGTGCGAACACAAGGGTTAAAAACAAAAAAATAATCAAAATGACATTGAACTAAAAAAAAAAAAAAATGAACTATGGAGAAACGGATCTGAACTGTATGTGAGACAAAGGAATACTGACGCTGAAAAGCATTCTTCGCTAGGGCCAAGCCTATGATTGGCTCATAGGCAATTAATTTGGTGAAAAATGATCCGACACTTGAAGAGGCTCTGCTGTAAGTAGAGCTGTTTTTGTAAACAGAGCGATAGCGCGTAGAGGCATAGGATTCATCGAGCACACATTCGTAGGAGAGTAAAGAAAGTACGCATAAAATAATGGAGACAATGAATATTTATTCGTATATTTTTTCTTTACATAGTAATTTTTTTATACTGTAATTTTTTCTTACGTATTAAAAACTAAAGCCAAGAGCTCGCAATCGACGAGCTGGCGTTTGTCGAAGATATCGCTCTCGCGTATAGCGTTCGCGACGTTGGAGAAGCGCGTATACTTGGCATCGACCGTATCAACGAGTCGGGCTAATCGTTCGAACGTTACGTCGATGCATCCGTCGAGATCGAACATTCGGCGCAGCGTCGATTCGATCATCGTCATGTGTACGGTCGAAGATTCGAGTCGTACGAGCGTAACGTCGTTATGCGTGCAGATTCTGATCGTTAGCGGTCCAACGTTTATAAAATTGTCCTTGTACTCGTTCCGCAGCAATTTGTAGATATTCCATCGCTGCTCGTAGAGACCTTTCCACGTTTCGAGAGACAACGAAAGTTCGCGTCCGCGATGGTCTCCCAGAACGATCTCCACGTAACTCGGTGGATCAACGTTGATTGCAATTTCCAAAAACTTGTAGCCAGTAGCGGTCAGGTCGTATCGTCGACTCAGTATGCGCACCGCGCGACGCTTTATCCTGTAATAACGCAATTACATGCATAATGTTATAGGAAGAAAAGTGTTTTTTTCTATATAGAATATTAAAACTTACGCGTCGGGTTCCTTCTTCGGTTCGCTCTCTGTGGCGGAGTTAAAGCGAAAAATTTTTTTTGATCCGTTCGTGCAAGCGAATATAGCAAGACTGATCACATCGGTGTATTAAATTGATTGTAATACTTCTGTAATTAAAGAGAGGGGGGTGAATCGAAGAGAGAGGGGGTAAATTCTCTTTCCGAAAACCTGTCGCGACAAATTTTTTATCGCAACTATCTATGTATTCTTTCTACCGCGAATTCATCTACATACATTATTGTTTATATTTTTATGATGTATTATCTTTTGATGACGTGTTGTTTCCTGCTTTTTTCTTCAATGGCGGGGGAGGTGGGGGAATTCGGGGACGTTCGTATTTATTTTTTGACGATGATGAAGACGTCGGCTCATAAGTCGTATCTGTCGACGTATTTTCTGTAGGCCAATTACAATATCTTTGGCTTTTCGTCGAAGATGTATTTTTCCACGTATTTTCTTGAGGCAACTCCCAATAATATTTTTGATTTGAAGATGTATCCTTCGACGGAGACGATTCCCAATATCTTTGATTTTTCTTCGATGGTGGGAGGCTCGGTGGGCACAGCGGCTCGCGATCGTCGTCTAACCGACGGTATCCCTTGAGCTTGGTGCACTTTCGATGCAGATAATCGTTTACTCGGTCCATACCGTAACGCTCGTAAGATTACGATTGA